CCCCAGCCAGCCATGTTGTTTCCATGCTGGCAAGGGAATTCTGGGAGTTGAAGTCCACACATCTTAAAGTTGCCAAGGTTGAGAAACACTGTCTTTATGCACAGCAGATTAGAAAAGCAGTCAATAGAAGTGAAGACCTATATATAAGTCTTTACTGAGGATTTTAAATTAAAGCTTTTTCCTCCCATTTTTCTGAATCAGTGGATACTTGGCTGTTCTTGATGGCCTTGAAGGCACTGATCTATATTGATATAATAGTTCTCTTTAGCCTTGGATCTGCTGGTTCCTGCCACTCCAGCTTCATTCCTTCCATTGTATAAGGCTCATAATAAAAGAAAGCGCCTTCCTCAAAAAAACTATTTAGCATGAAAATCTGCAGATCAGCACTGATCCACTTTGAGAAGGTGCTCCGAAACTGCTTTGAATGAAGCTTTGTTAAAGTGAAGCACCCCCTTGAAGTTCTCCAGAGCCCTAATAATTTATGTCAGTTTCCATTTCTGATTTATCAAATGAGAGAAAATAGTATTTGCAGATTTGTTGTGAAGCTAAAATGAGAACCTGCTATTTATAAAAGTAATATATACCAGGTAAAATTTGGTTCATCATTTGCATCAATTTACACGATGACATCATTATGCAGATGAGGCAAATTATGCCATTTGTGTAAAGTTGCATAATTTGTATAGTCATGTTGTCACTCAAAGAACATTATTTGCATCACTGTAATTATATACTCATTGAATTCAACAGACCTTTGGAAATAATAGACACTTTCTCTCCCTGAATTAGTCTGTTAAAATGAGGTTTCACTGTATGTTTTCTAAATTATTGCTCTTGGATCATATCTTAACAAATTCCTCTTCTTGACTCTGTTCACCATTTACTTTTCAGCTTAGAAATGGACCAGATTTCTCTGCTCCACCATTAGGACCAGGGAGCAGGAATGGGCGCTTTTGCGGTAGCAATTCTTTCCCTATAATGTTCACCACGGATAACCAGCTCTTTGTCCACTTCAGTTCTGAGAGCAGTAATGGAGGCCAGGGTTTCAAACTGATTTACGAGGCAAAGGGCCTCGGTGAGTATTAGAACTGAATGCAAATGAAGGCTCTGCATTGGTGGCACCAATCAGTGAAATTTTAAACCAGTGATTCTCAAACAATGACTCAGGACCATGACTTGACAAAAACAATCAATCAGCTTTCTGGATCAGCCTTTCCCAACCTGGTACCTTCGAGAAGTTCTGGGACCACAGCTTTTAGAATTAGCAGTCAGCATATGAATTAGTAATTCTGGAAGGTGACATTTCATCCTAATTGGAAGGCAATGAGTTACTGCTTTGCTTTGATTTAATTTGAATGGATTTGAAAGGCCACCTAATCATCAAGTGATTCAAGGCTGAGGAAGACTGAGACAGATTGTGAAGCTTCTTCATGCCACAACCAATTAAATGCCTCTGAGAAGGCAAGGAATGAACATATTCTCTTACTGTCACTCCCCAGCTATTGTTATTATGTAGTATATTACCTCTGAACATGAAATTTCCATTTCAGTATAAGGGCTAATCGAATTTTGTGAATTTATGCTGCAGGAATCTTTCTAAAGTTGTCTGAACTAGCAGCCAAACTGCATCCTGTGGATATGTGAAATACTTTCTTTTAAGCCCTGATTGGTTATCATGTGACCAACAATCAATGCAGTAAAGCTAAAATGTTGGAATTCAACTTCCATCTTGAGATTTTTAAAAAAATTATCTTAAAAAAAAATCATCTAGTGGGTCAAAATGCATCCTTTTACCTTATCTGCACTTTTCAAATGTGATACATGTGACTAATGACCATTTATGAAATCTTTTCTCTTTGGGTGTTTTAATAATGTCTATAAGTAGTAACCAGAACAGAGCCAATGATATAGAAAATAGAATCCTTTATCTGTTTGAAAAAGCTCCTTTTGATGGATAGGGCACACAGATCCTGTCTCACGTATCAAACTCAGCCTTCCCTAAGGTGTCATCTGGTGTCCCAGATTTCTGTAGGGAAGCCACATGTGACAGAAACAAATGCATTAAAAAGGAGGGAAAATAATAAGCTGTCTTGCCTACGTTATGAAAAGAATGCAAACTGAGTTTTACACATGGTCTACTTTTGGCCTGAGGATTTAATTAGGCGCACAGAGAGGGCTGCATTGTCCCTACCCCTTTCCATGGCCCCTGTCACAACTCCTTCATCTCAAGGCAGGGGGGCTATTCACATTCTGCAGGCTCCTGCTTGACCTTTCTCTTCCAGTTGGCAGGTCAGGTTATAGGGAGACCCTGGAGTAGGCAGAAATGGTAGGCAGAGCTTCCCACTCCTAATTGTGCAGTTCTAATTGTGTGCAGATTAAAATCTGTGCCTCTCCAGATGTTGCTGTGCTATAACGCTCCAGATGTTGCTGTGTTCAAGGCAGCCTCAGATTGCATGCTCATAGTGAACTGTGCTGGAGGCCTATGTTTGGCAAATTCTAGGGCATCACAGAGAAAGTTGAATCCTGTTTAATAGGTCCTTTGTGTTTCCTTACTTGCTAGCGTGTGGAGGAAATGTTTACATCACTCAAGACAATCCATTTGGATTTATCTCTTCACCCAACTACCCTGGAAATTATCCACCCTTTGCTGATTGCGTCTGGACCATAACTGCACCATATGGGGTGGCTGTAGACCTGCAGTTTGAAGATCAATTTGATATTCAGCCTTCACCTAAGTATTTACACAATTATTAGATTAGCTTTATTTGCATTTTCTAAAGCTGGCAATTATTGTAATAAGGTTTTATGAAAATATTCCTTGCTATTTTTATTTCTGCCACATTATTATTCCTCAATCAGGGTTAGAACACTACTGAAAAAATCTTAATTGATCTAGTGGACTACAGTGGCACTAGGGTGGATGTAGAAGTAACTAGGGTGATAGCCAGCCAGGGTTCAATCACCTGTCCATTGTTCTAAAAATAATAAAAATCTAGAAGCAGATCTGAGGAAAGATCTAACAGCTAAGATTACAGTATATTTTTGCTTTAGCTTGTCATGGACTACTTGCATTTTTTTTCAGGGCTATGTGAATCAAGGTGAGGGTGTCAGTTGTATTACAGGCATATTGCCGCTGATTTAACAAACACAGTGACAAGTAGACAACCTGTCTCTTCTTTCCTTTTAAATTTTTAGCAAAGTCTATTTTGAGTTGTGTTCAACTCCTGTTGATTTCTTAGACCCTTCCCTGTAGTTTTCTTGGCAACACATGAAAGTGGCTTGCCATCTTTTCAGTTATTTTTTTCCCTTCAGCTTCCCTTCCCTTCCCTGAAATTTCCTGATGGTCTCCCATCCAAGTATTTGCTTAGCTTTTTCAACTCAACCAAGAACATGTTAGGTGCTTTTAATTTTTAAGCAGCATTTAAATCTCAATTTAAGAGTATTTATTTATTTATTTCCAAAGAACAAAGCCCCAAGGAGGGGGAAAGCTGTCTCTTTTCAGTTTTGCTTGTCTAGTGTATTTCATTAAGGAAAAAATACTAACAATGACTTCCCTTCTCTTCCTATCTCACTTTCCCAACATATGTTGAGGATCCATAAAAATTAACATACCATAAAACCTTTCCTACTGAATATATCCGAATAAAAATCATTCTATTCATGTAGCTCTTTTCATAGTTACATGGGTCTAAAAGAATGGCATTTCCCTTTTTACAGCAAATTTTAATTAAAAGCTTCAAACTTGCATGGTTGAATTTACTGAATGGTGAATCAGAACTCACCATCGGAAATTAATAATTTTCTAGCCTGATGCCCCAAAACATTTATTCATGATTCCAGTCAGGTAGAAAGATCAGCCAAACTTGCTCAGTATGGTATTGTAACCTAGTTAAATATTTCTTATTCTATAATTGATTTAGTCCTCAGATGACCCAAGAATTATTGATTGCAGACCTTGATGTCTCTGGATTTTGTGCCTCCCAAAACTGAGCCAAATATTTGTCTGATATATTGTCCACAAAAATGTATAATGTTGTCCTTTTTTAGCTGTACATTAAGTTATCTTGAATTACGAGATGGGGCTGATTCCACAGCTCAGCTCATCAGCAAACTATGTGGGACTTCTGTGCCAGGCATTCAGAGATCTTCTGGTTCTTCCCTATATATGAGATTTCAATCAAACAGTCTGGAGAGACGGTCTGGATTCAATGCTAAGTATTCAAGAGGTACTACATACATTTATTCCTTGCCTAACCTTTTTACTAATCATAAAATCTAAGGGTATACAGATAAATCCATGAACTGGATTTTAAACTTTACTTTAAATCAGCTTGGTCAGGTTCTGCCAATCCTTTGAAAGACACTAACTAATAAAAGTGACTTCCATATCATCATTCCAATATATCTAAGCTCGGTATTTCAGAATTTTTTTAGTTATGGAACTTTTTAAAACAATACTTAAGATGTGGCTGCTATTTCATTTCCTCTGAAGTGCATAGCAGAAGATTTCCCATTTGCAGGAATACCCACTATCAAGCTTTCAGCAGCTGATTTCAGTCAAAAGCAAGATTCCTTTAAGAATAAAATACAGTTGCAGAAATCTCAGCAACTGGATTACTTTCACTTTAAAACCCAATTTATCTCTGAGTTTTTTAAGGTGGAGACCTCTTCAGTTTTTCACTAATCACCTCTCCGTGAATTGGTGAGAAAGGTCTTCATTTTCCTGATAACTGTGAAATGCTTATGTGGCCACAGCTTTTCCAAACAAACTCTGAAACTCTCTCATGCTCTTAACATATAATTATGCCCATGTCTTGATTCCCAGCTCCTGGGTTTTCTGTCTCCTTTTTGAAACCACGATACCATAATGCCTCTTCTTCTTTGGAGGAGATTAGAAAGGGAGTTTCCATTGCTCGATCATAATCACTCCCCCATGTCCCAGCTAGTTACCTTTGCTATCCCAGGGAGAAGCAGTGAAGATGCTTGTGTAGCACAAAAGCACTTGAGAGAGTAAAAGAGGCAAGGCCATTTAAGTGCTCTGAAAAGCACTACTGTAGATCAAAAGGTCTAAAACTAAAATCTTTATGTTTCCTTCAGCGGCATGTGGTGGCACACTGACAGGACAAAATGGACTCATTGAAAGTGTTGGATTCCCTGAACTTTACTATCCAGATAATTTGTTATGTGAATGGTTTCTCCATGGACCTGAGAATCATTATCTTACCATTACCTTTGAAGCACTAGATATTCAGAACTCACTAGAGTGCGCAAATGACTACTTGATAATTCAAGAAAATGGAGCTACAGGTACATGCATCAGTACTGTCCCTCTTTCTCTCATGCCCTGTTGGGTAATGAAAAGGTGTATTCTGAACTACAGCCAACATTACATTCAGGGATTTCTGCTTATGCCATAGAAATACTTCTATATCTCTTTTTCTCTCTGTGCACACTTCAGATCTGTTGTGAAGAGTACTCAAACCTACCTGAGTAGATATAGGAGGTAGAGCAGGATAAGGGAATCTCTTCCACTGTGAAATGCCTTTTTAATGGCAAAAAGTTGCAATTAGATACAGCCCACTGTCTCTCGCTGGAGTAACTGGAATTCAAAGAAGGGATCACCTGACTTTCTTTGTGCCTCTTGCTGGTGCTTATTCCTGTAGCCTTCACCTCCACCCCCCACCCCTCAGAAACTATTCCCAAGTTCTACTTGAATAATGCCATCAAATATCACACATGATTGTGGGTTACCCTGCCTTAAAACTCTAAGATATTCTTTGGAAACTTTCAAAGTTCTGAGGAGAAATAAATGTTTGAACTGTGGTGCTGGAGAAGACTCTTAAGAGTCCCCTGGACTGCTAGGAGGTCCAACCAGTCAATCT